TGTCCCTCCAGGCGGTCGGTTTGGTGCTGTATCCGCTCGGTCTCGGGTCCCCCTTCGCCAGGCTCCAGTGTGGCGATTCAGCTACGGTCTACGCTGCAGGGAACTGTGAACTGGGGTATGCCTACATGCTGGCCCTCGTTGCTACGGCCCTCGCTGCCTACTGCCCCGTGCTGGCCAGATTGGTCACTTATAAGGACTATACGGACTATTGGTCGAATTTGAATTATATGTAGATAAAGGAAAAGGAGGATTTGTCTCTTTTAATTCTTGGGGGTGAGAGGAGATATGGGTAAAGAAAATAAGAGTGAAGGGAAGTGATATCCTGTTGGATGTGTGATGTAAACTTTTTTGGAAATACGTTCTAGTGAAAGGAAAGGGGAAAAAAGAAAGACAAATCTCAAGACGTTTCACTGACTGTGAGATTCGAAGAAATGGTTATTCTTAAGTGGAGAGAAAGAGAGAGAAAAAAAACTGCCAGTTGTCTCGAACGGCTCGAAACTTCTCTCCGACTCTCACGGATGAAGCATGTCGTGTATCCTAGTCTTATTACCTTTCGGGTATGTTGTAAATAAACCATAATAGTAGAAGTGTACAATGGCGGCGCGAACCTACATGATGTTGACCATGAGGCCCAACATCCCAGACGGTTGTGGGTCTCAGCAGTGGATGTTGTGACTCTACATATTGATTCCTTCCCTCGATGTGACGTCACCAAGGAGCTGGGGAGTGTTCGCGCAAAATAGATAAACGATGACGTCATCACGTTCGCGTACTCACATGCAGGCGAATGCGTAACATTAGCATGGAAATGAACACTTGCCATCCTCGCTTGGACGAACGGATGACGTCAGCAAGTGTGTATCAGCATCGTTGTGGTAAAAAAAAACTAAAATGAAAATGAGGCTGGTGACCACAGTGACTAAACGTCTCAAGATATGAAAAAAAAAAATCTATTCTGGAAAAAAAAAATCTAACCAAAATCAACTTTCCACGGCATAATGTGGCTGTAAAGATGGAAATGGCTTTGAATTCCGTGTTTATTACGATCGCTCAACCCGCTTATGAAATGCAAATTGACTCCGAAGACAAGAAAACCCAAAATGATCGTCTTTTGCGAATACAAACAACATCAAAAGAATCCTGCAAGTCAACAATTTCCTAATGGAGAAAAGAAAAGAGACAAAGCAACTGCTGATTGCATTATTTGCATTTTTTTCTCTTTTTTTTGAATGGTAATAAAAAGACAAATAAAATTGAAACTCATATTGTTTTATATGATATTTAGCGTGGCAAATACTTCGTTGTGTATTAGAATTTCATAGCCACTGCAAGATAAAGTGTTAGCCATTCTCAAATTTCCAGAAATTAAGAAATTATTTTATGCATATCATGTGAGAATTCAAATGTTATTGAAACATGAATTTATGTATATATGGTGCCCAACATCCTCACAAAACTACAATGTAAAACACATACACTATATCAGATATGTCATCGACAGTAAACAACGGCATAATCGACATTTTTTTCCTTCAATTACAATCGACAATTATACAGCAAGGTCACGCAGATGGCCTCAAGCATGTATGTCTTAAAGATTTATTCATAAAGGTCGTGATATTGGGAATTTTACCCTCAAAAAAATCTGTAACACAATATAGATGTTGCAGTTTTAGAAATATAATTAAAGAGAAATTGTAATTTCAAACGGATTTAGATTACAAGAATTTATGATATATGCTTCTTATAGAACAATATTGAAAGGCTTGTGCATGAAAATAATACAGTATACTCAGCTACAGTATATATCTCAGGCATAAAAAAGTGAAGATATCCAAATGATATATCTATTTTGTATATGCCTTTTGGTGTGTAATGAGTACTTCATGTTATATAAAAAAGAAGTACGATAATATCTAAAAAAAAATACATTTCTTGAACATTAAGGGGAGAGAAAGGAATTTATCTCATCGGGGCACAGGAGAGAGAAAAAAAATCGAAATCACATAACTTTTTTTTCAAAGACGAAATCCACCTAACCAATAAATCAATAAATACATAAACAGATAGATGAATAAATCGAGAAAATAAATTAAAAACCATCCTTACATTTTTGACTTGTGCTTCCGCCTCGCTAATGCGAAGGGAAGGGAAGAAAATCCGGTCTTATATTTGTGATCCTAATGAGCTCATTAATGTTACCTCATGAATATTTAATGACTTTGGACGACAATAATTATCAGGTTGGGGCATCAAAGATCGAGAAAGAAATAGGCTCATATATCCGAATCTGTTCATGAGTTCTAGAGAGAAAAGGGAGTTAGAAATTATAATGAAATTTCAATTATTTGATTATTAAATGTGATATATTTTTTCCTGGCTCACAAAAGGGAAAGGAGAGAGTTAAAGAATTCAGTCTAGGCCCAGTTTATATATATTTTTAAAACAATTTCCCTTTCCCTTTCCAGATTTTAGTTCAGTTATCAAATCTATCGATATT